ACCACCATTCTGTACAGTTGACAAAGTCCAACCACAGTCTTTCTACACTTGGCTCAGTAAGTCTTGTTTTGCAGCTCACTTCTGTCACTCTGTAGGGGGTTGACTTTCTATACCCTTCCAGCACTTGAGAATTCCCACTGGCTCATACTTAACCAGGCAATGATGAGCCTTGTGGACAAGGGGAAAAGACATCCTTAAGAAGGACTGTTTGTGTCTGCAGTGGGGAGCAGGGTATGTTAACTGGGGAGAAAAGTACATGTGACCACTCCAGCCCAATGATTTGAATAGCACCACTCCAAAGACTATTCCTTATACCCATGCCCCCTTCTCTAGCTGAAAGAGAAGTTGAACAAAGTGCTTCTTAAGTCTCCAGTTCTGCCTTCTGCCTCTTCCCTCACACGAATGTTGCTTAGATTGAATTGTTTTCCTAAAGCTTTCCATCCAAGCACTAAATGTCTCACTACCAGTTCTGCAAATGTACCTGCCTCCAGCCTCAGCCATAAACAGTCAGAGACACGCTGACAACAGAGCTAGCTCTCCTTTTCCTTTGCATCTCCTCTCCACAAATGAAGTTAAATAGATTTAAACTTTAATCAGTTAGATCAGTTGTTTTTAATGGGAATTTAAATTGAACTTGAGACTGAAAGCATTAGGGAACTGCAGGTTGCTCAGCTGGGACTTTGTGGAGACATTTCCCATGGCTCTGTGACAGGGGTGGTAGCTTGCAGTGGTCTTTTGACCACATCTTAAGAAATTAATAGGCGATAAGGCTTTGGGAGTAGAAATTTTTCTTTGACCTTAGCCTCAAGTCAGAGAAGGAAATATTCCTCAGGAGTGATCTTGACCTGGTGCTTAGGTCAGTGGACTCCCAGGCCTATGGTGTCACCTTCATATCTAACCTGGATGACCAAGGTAAGGAAAAGGAGAGGATGTGTGTTGGAAAATGTTCCCACCCTTGTATACCACTTCCCACTTTGAACCTTCCCATCAGTTGGGGAGAGACAGACAGGGACACAGTTGATTTAAGAAACCTCCACCTCCTTTTTCTTAAACACTACATGAGTGTACAGTGCACACTGAAAAGAGAAAGGGATTCTTTGAACCCCCAATGACAAATACTAATTACTGAGGAGAGATGGTACTAGCAGTGGTGTAAGCTTTGGGATCTTGAACACACTAGTTTTTGTTTATTCCTGATTCTGTCTGTTTTAAATATTTATATTTTAATTGTGAAATATATCAAATATACAGAAGTCTTTAGAAAGTAAGGCATTGTCTTAGTCCGTTTTGTATTGCTATGGCAATTTTTGAGACTGGGTAATTTATAAAGAACAGATGTCTTTGGCTCATGGTTCTAGAAGCTAGGAAGTCCAAAGTGTACCAGCATTTTCTTGGAGTCTGGCGAGGGCCTTCCTGCTTACATCATAAGATGAAAAGCAAGACAGAGCAAGTGTGCTAGCCGAGGTCTCTCTGAGAAAGTCACTAATACTGTCATGGGGGCTCTACCCTTATGACTTTACCTAATCTTAATGACTTCCCAAAGGCCTTGCTTCCAAATGCCATTAACACATCAATTTCCAACAAATGAACTTGTAGGAGGCACAGTCAAGACATCGAGATACCACCCAGATTTATAGGTATTAATATCTTACAGTGTTTTTAACATAGAAATGATATATTACAAATACTCCTAAAGCTCCACCTACCTCTCCTCAATAACCAGTAATCAGTTAGTTTATGTCATCCTTGTGTATTTTTGTGCTTTGGCTACAAATGTACACATGTACAAACCTAATCGAAATGCATAATACTGCTTTTTTTGCAGTAGTAGTATTGCAAATTATTTTGCAGTGATTCCTAATACTGCTGTTTACTTGTGGAAATTGTGGAGAAGTTGTATCACCTTTTGAGCTACAGGGAAGTTTGTTAAGATCTGTTTGTAATACTCCTGGCACAATCCACTGAGCAAAGATCAAATCAGGGCCTGGTTAGAAGGAGACCAACTTGATATTCTTGAGGCAACATCAACAAGACTTTGTGACCAATTTAATACAAGTATTGATGGTGGCTTAGGGGTGCAGGAACAACAAGGGTATTTCTGGTACAGGTGCCTGGCAGGGAAGTTGATGTCAGCCACTAAGCTCAGAGCAGATGAGGGAAGCTGACTAAGTAAGATGTTCTTTTAGACCTGTTGAGTTAGAAGTGGCTACAGCACACTAGGTGGAAATTTTGAGGAAGCAATTGGATATTTGGACTCAATTCAGGAACAAGATTTGAACCCGAAGTACCATCTTGGGTTCACTTAGCATTCCATACTTACTCACTTTGGGAGTGCAGGTACCTTGGTTCCAGACACTTCGGTGGCATCTTTACCTGGAATAGGTAGTGTGGGTCAGCCTCACCAGACCTCTACAGAACTCTGGCCAGTGGCAACAAGAGAGCTGAGTAAGGTTACCTAATTGTCACATCAACTTCAAAAGTTAGAGTTATGCTTGAAATATTTTTTCCTTCTGATCACCTGCTGAGATTTTATTTGTGCAATTAGATAAACACTTTCTGAAGGTAAATTTGCTCTCAGACTTTACCACACCTTTTATTAATAAGTCCATAGACTTTATTACCCTTTACATGGACTTACATTTGCCTGAACTTTCCCTCTCGTTACACTTCAAGGAGTCCTGGCCTTTTCTGGGATTTGACAGCAACACATGTGTAACCTTTCCCAGGAGTTTCTCAGGCATTTAGTCTGGGATCCTAATCTTGAGTTTGTCTACTGTGAATGTTTCTTGGCAGGACGGGAAGCAGATGGGCCATTTGCTATTCCGCCTATAGCTCACCACAGACCTGGTCTGGGGCCTGTGGTCCATCCTTATTAGTTAGTAGCTAGCTTTTCACAGGAAAGTGAGGAAGGATGCCTATCCCTCCCCCAAACTCTGCTTCATGGCCAGCAGGACGTCCTGAGAGGCCTCCTTTTAGATGATTAGAATCTGCTCCAAAGAGCTCAAATAAAAATGTGGGATGGAGTCTGGGAAGAGTGTGGATAGCTGCTTTTATTGTAAGAGAGACTCCAGGAATTTAGGATGGCAGTGTCTGCAGGTGGATGGGCACCAGAGCAGCTCTGAGTCTTGGTTTTTTTATGTCTCTACTTTTCTCACTTTCTTTCCCACTTCTTCCTCTTCCTTGATTTCTTTCTTCTTTCTCTCTGTCTCTCAGTCTCTGTTTCTCTCTGTCATGCTCACAGAGATGATGTCTCAGTCAGTCCCACTTTTGAGTCTCTCTGATTTCCACCTGTCTGCCTGCCTTCCCCTCCTCTTCCCTGCAGCTTGGTCCCTGGTCCATAATTGTGCAGACTCCAGTATTAAGTGACTCTTTTACTCTTGACACCCATAACCATCTGGTAGTAGCCCCTCTGTGTCCAGGACTCTGGCTGCCTAAGAGAGAATATGGCAGGATCCCTTTGTCCACTTGAGCCCACCATGCTGTTCCTGGGCTGGTTGGCCAGCCTAAGACTGGGTCCCCTCAGGTCAGAACCACCCTGGGCCAGTCAGCAGAGGAGGGGGCAAGGTTACAGAGTCCCCTGCCTTCTTAGCAAGATCTGTGTGTTAGGGGGCAGGAGTTATCAAACACATTTAACCAAACAACCATAACCTAAAACCCTTCCAATTGACTTTTACTGGGTGGTTGATCCTAAACATGGCTTAAGCTAAGTGAGAAGTCATGGCTTAGAAATGGTTTCTCTCTGCTTTGCTCACTCCAGGGTTCACATCTCTGAAGTGGTAAGCTCAGCATCTTGCAGCCACATAAACATCTCATGGAATTCAACTTGCAGTTCAAGTGTTCGTTTTACTCACTATGTTGGGCTGCAGGACAGGATTTGCTTGATTACTAACAATCATACTGATGCAAAAAATAGAGATTTTGGACTTGCTATTTTTCCATTCATGAACACTTCTAGTGTGTGTGTTGAAAGGTTTTCCCCTAAAGTTGAGAGTACTGTATAATAGTCATCATGGCGGGGAATGGCAGAAAGCAGATCTTGACACACCAAGCTCAGGCCTCCCCTTCCTGCACTCTGTGGCAGCTGTTGCCACACCCTGTGTTCCTTACAGCCTTAAGTCATAGAACTGGCTATTATTAGATTTGCCTAGAGTGTCTGAAAAGAGGCTTAGAATGGGAAAACTTTGTCCCTCCTTCATACAACTGGAAAACATTACAGAACTTGACTCTTTCAGATTAAAAAATAGAAACTGTACAAAATCCAGCTTGTACTACTTAGTCACACGGAAATGTGAAGAGGAAGAGAAAGTGAGCTTGCTTCCACCCCACAGGTGGTTTTGATTTAGAAAACATGCCTTGAAATTCAGTGCCCACAAATACGGGAAAAGGGTTTGATTTTGCTTCTGATGAAAAGTAAAATTACTCTCAAATGTTTCATGAAATTTTCCACTTAATATCTTTTTTTACTTTGGCCAGTCAATCGATACATATTGTGGGAAACGCTGTTCTCCCCGTGATCAGAATTAAGTGGGATTCAGTTCGACAACACAAGTTAATCATCGCTAGAAATATTGGCAAGAGCTGGGGATGTTTGTATTCCTTGGGGAAAGTTTAACATCGGATAAATATTCCAGCCCAACCGACTGCCTTCTCTGGGCCTTCCTTCACCAAACTTTCTCCCCCATAAGGAGGATCTGCTAAAAGCAATGTGTTGGGTCCCTGGTAATTTACAAAGGGAAGATGATACTTCAGAAGACTTGGCCATGAGCTATTGTTTGTATGCAGTAACATGTTACTACCTCTTGCAAAATTGAACAGTGGCAGTATGACTGTTTTGCCCTCAAAATCCAGCCTGATTACTTTTAAAAGAAATTTCAGTAGTTGGATTGTCACACTCCTGAGATTAGGAACTCCTGTCTCTCTTAGAAGACTTCTGTCCTATGAGGCAGGTTGTTACGTGACTGAAAAGAGAGTAATGTTCTCTTCTCATGTCCCCTCTTTAGAATAAGAAGATCTACTTGGACATCATTCACACGTACATGGAAGTACATGCCACTGTCTATGGCTCCAGCACAAAGAACATTCCCAGTTACGTAAAGAACCACGGTATCCTCAGTGGGCGGGACCTGCAGTTTCTTCTCCGAGAAACCAAGGTAAATTTTCAGCAGACTTGTAAAAATTTACCAGGGTGTGGTTTACAGGTTTGCTTCCATTACTGTTGAAGATAGTATCAAAGTCTTTCTCACATTCTTTTCAATGATGCAGTAGATCTTTAAGCTTGTAACTCAGCAGTAGTTTGCCAGATCAGCTGTCACTGGTTAGTGGTTTATGGAGAGAGATTGCTACAGGTTTTCTTCATTGATTTTTGTCAAAACATATTTCCATAATTAAAAATTAACAAGAGAAATGATATTTATGGAGCTGGGAGCTGTAGCTCAGTCTAGCATCCACAAGGTCCTAGGTTCAATTCCCAGCATCACAAACAAGACCATGTTATAGAGGACTGCTCTGTGTAAGGTAACAAGCTAGGGAATAGAAACAGGGCCACAGATGGAAAAGATAAGACCCTGCCTGGAAGGATGGGCCTTCTTATAGAACAGCAGCTTTCACAGAAGCCAAAGGCGCCAAACTCCCCACCCAGTTACCACCATTCAAGAAATTAGTTCCCCAGTGGACTTTTCCTTACACCTCCTCCCTCAACAAGTATATGCTGGACACTGGAGAAATTCAGGTGAGGGTAAAGTTCCTGCCTGCTTAAGGAGTAGGGAAGACATAAGAGATGAGGCGGGTATGGATACACCTGGCATTTGGGCCAAACGGATGTCAGAGTCAGGTAGCAAAGGTGTTTATGTCATATTCAGACGAGAAACACAAGCCAACCTGTCTACACTAAGCATTGAAAAATAGTGGAAGATAAGATTTGCTAAGGAGACGAGGGTCTAATTGTCATAGACATGGATAGAATTTAGACCCTGGAGTGCAGGTAGTTGGGGGAGCTACAGAGGATTATTTTGCTAAGCTGTAGAATGATGACATGATACCTTTACTCTGTGGGGAAGTCACCCACTGATTTCTGCCCTTTGTATAGTCCTGCCATGGAAGCACCAAACGAAGGGAGGGGACTTGTGAATAAACCAGAGTCTGCCTTTGAAGTGTTGGTGGCACTTTTGTGTATTAGATAAGATCCCTCATGTTTCTCATAAATTATTGTTTATGAATTGTTTATGTATTTGCTAAGTGGCTGCCACATGCCAGGTACTGTGCAAGATCCACAGGAGTGAAAAAAAGTCAGTGGATTGCTCAGTGTTTTCTAAAGCATAGGGAAGCATGTTGTCAGTGGTCCCTGGCTCACTGTTCTCATGTTCAAGGTAGGAGAGAGCAGATGTGCTTCTGTGGCACAATAATGATTGCTAATCCTTGTGTGACACTTCATTTTTAGAAGGTGCATTCTTATTTTTTAATCTCACACAGCCTTAAGAGGTAGACAAAGCAGGCATTGTTAACTCTAGAGAGCTGAGTTTGCCCACCATAAACTCAAATTCAAGTCATAGATGTGGCTACACCTTGCCGTTCTTTTTAATGCAAATTAAAACTCTACTAGGGTTTTGGCATACCATCCTCATAAACATCCCAACTTAAGAACACCTAATGGGCACCAAACAGCCAAATATACATATATACACATATATACATATATACACATATGTGTGTATATATGTTCTTTGCCTCAGTTTCTCCATCCACTTGATACTTTCTACCTCTAAGTCATTTGTATGGTCCCATAAACAAGACAGTTTGACAAATTCTTTAATCCCTTGACCAAAGACCTGGTTTGTTTTAATGACAACATTATTTCCTTCCAAGGTCCCCTGTAGTCTTGTGACTCTCTGTGGCCCCCCAGGAGTGATGTGTGTCCCAGTCTCACTGTTTGCTTCCCATCACCTTCTGTCTTAGCTTGACATTTTAGAATCATCAGGCTGTCCTGGCCCTTTAACACCAATGCTATTTTTGCCATTTGCTTCATTTTACTTTTTGCCACATCAGATTGTGCAAAAAGTTCAAGTTCCTTTAAAATAACATTTGGCAGAGCTGGTTTTCAGCAGCATGTCATTACTGTCTCACACACTTCTATTAACCTACCCTTGTGAATGTCTTGCTCAGCCTTGCAAATTTTAAAAGAACCCTTACTCACCTACCATCCATTTACCCTGTCAGAGAATGGGAAATGGGCCAAAACCAAGGTCCCAGATGTCCAGAGGAGGACAGCAAAAAAGGCCCATATTACCCAGCCACAATGTCAGAAATGGCCAAACAGCCTTAGAATGCAGCTTAGTTTTTGAGGAACAAGGGACATATATTCATCTTTGAAAAATGAGTACCTTCTGAGGATGTCGCTGATCAAATTACAGAGTGCCTGCTTATCTGACAAGAATATATTAAAATACTCTGCATGGAATTATGGCTCAAACAGTTGGCAAAAGTAACGAGAACAAGGCAGTGCATCACTGAGACTTTCCTTACACCCAGATCACAGCAGCAGGCACCAAAATGAATGAATCTCAGGCTTTGGAATAATGACATGAAAGACCAGCCGGGCTTTGCATTTATAACCCTTCCAGCTTCTTACTTTTTCCTCTGTGTCTCTGAGCAATTTAAAAGCGATTTATTCCAATCCATATTGGAAGTGGAGAATCAGGACTATGGACTGATGAGATTCATACTCTTAGACTCAGAGCTGGAGAGGGAAACAAGTCTGGTATCCTCGAGAGGCTCTCAATAGGCAAAAATGATTGATGTCTAATCAGCTTCAGACTCATTATTTTTCTTTATGAGCTAGCTTTGAATCTCTGCACCAAGCCTAAGGAACCCTTTGCTCAGCAGAATTTTGTCCTGGCATGCCATTAGGGGCCTGGGCGTCTTTAGCAGACTCTTGGTTGGGAAGCCTGAGAAGTCAGGAAGAATTCAGTGAAACACTAAAATCAGGACTGAAAGTGCTGGGAACTTGTTGGAATCTAAAAACCCCTTCTAATAGGGGTATAATTTGGATGAATGAATTATTTATTGTAGGACCACATATGAGTCATTCATCTCAGCCAACTCCAGGAGTGCAGGTGAAGCCAACAAATCAAAGCCTCACCAGGGTGGCATGTTTTCATTTTTGGCTTAAATCACCATCTCTTTTAATGTGGACTCCTTTTTCACCTTCCTAGTTTTAACCTCTTCACATGCACCTCCTACTGTCTTTCCTTGGCTAGCTCCTTATTACGTGTGCCATAATGAATAGTGCATTCACGTGTACACCTGCATGGTGACTCCAGGGTGTGTGGAGCTCTGATCTGTAGCCAGACCCAAGTACCTTCTTTCTGCAGTCAAGATCAAATTCTGACTGTAGCCTATCAAGGGAAGTTGCCGCCACTGCTCACGTTGTTGCTTCCCTCTGTCTATGCAAACCTCTCGCCAGCCCCTCCAAGACTTGGGTGGTCCATGAAGATCCTGGTTCCCTACAGTGTCGGCTCATCTACCAGCCTGGAGGCTGGCAAACGTGAAGCGAGTGCTGCATCAAACAGTGCTGTCTTTATTCCTGGTTCTCTACTCCCAACACACACCTAACCAATTACAGCATTTCTCACTAGGCTTACATGGATTTTGAAACCTCTGTAAAACTGTCTGGGCACCAGACTCCCATGAGTTTAGTGCAGCTTTGCTTCTTGTGTGCTCCCAAGCACCTAGAATACTGCCTGGTCTATAGAAGGTATTTGCATACAGGTTAACCAATCCCCATATGAAAATTAGAAATCCAAAATGTTCCAGAATCCAAAATTCTTTGCTACAAATGGAAATTTCTGCACCTAACTTTACATGATATGCCACAGTCAAAATACAGGTGCACTAAAAATGTTGTATAAAACTACCTTCAAACTATATGTATAAGGTATATATAAAACATAAATGAATTTTGTCTTTAGACTTGGGTCCCATTCCAAGGTATCTAAATTATGTATATGCAAATATTTCAAAATCCAAAAAAATTCCAAAACCCTAGCCACTTCTGGTCCTAAGCATTTTAGATAAGGGATACTCAGCCTGTCATTGTACAAAGAATGAAGAAAGGTGTCATGATGAAATCCATGGCTCTAGGCGTGATCCCTTCCTCTTCACATGAATCATTCATCTAGATGTCTGAGATCTCCCCATCAAGGACACTGCCCCTCTGATGCCCCTGCCTGCCTCTCCCTGAGGTTTTTCTCATCCCCAGGCCTTGTGAGCAGTCGCCCAAGAGTTCATTTGCTTAGAAGAAGCAGTTTGCCATCCACTTCTATTTCTCGTACTGGTTCTCACTCACCCTCAGGCAGCTTCCTCCTAGCAAGCAGTGTCTTAGGTCATACTCGTCTTGTGTGCACATTCATGCACACACTCCATACTCCCTCTTCCCTGCCCACATCTGGATGTAGAACAAGTCAGTGACCCTACTGACTTCCAGAGCAAAGGTGCATTCCCTGCTAGCTACAGGAACACTGTCACCCTTGCTGGACAGAGACACTTGATACTGGAAAGATCTAATCTATTTGTATTTATGCCTTTGCTTGTTTGTCGAACAAATTTGTATTATATTCTAAATGTATTCCAGGCCTTATTCTAGCCATTCTGGGTACAAGGAAGACTCAGGCAGTTTTGCCCACAGGAGCATACAGGTATGCTGGAGGAGGCAAACAGGAAACTGTAACAATGTGACGAGTGCACAGATAGAACTAACAGTAATGTACAATAACTGTCATGATAATGTAAGTGGAGCAAGCAATTCAGAGGTGGAGAATGTTAGTCAGTATAGGGCTGGGGGTGTGGTTCAGTGGTACAGCACCTGCCTAGCAAATGTGAGGCCCTGAGTTCAAACCCCAGTAGAAAGAAAGAAGGGAGGGAGGGAGGAAAGGAAAGGGAAAAGGAAAGGAAGGAAAGTTGCTCTGTGATAGTGAAGTCAATAAAATGACTTGGGTGAGCTGACTGACTGTGGAGAACAGATGCCAGTTGTCAGTCATGGTTTAACACATCTGTGTTATCGTGGGAAGTTGGACTGTAGAGTTTATTGTAACAATAACAGCCTTTACCAGGTGCCAGATCCTATGCTAAGCCCTTTCCATGAATTCTTTCTCTCCAT